TCTTAAATTTGCATGTGATTGTATTTTTCTACCATATATTTTTTTATCAGTTAATAATATATAGACATCCAGAAGAGTCTGATTTATGAACAACAAAGATTAAGTTGGTTTTAAAATATAAGAGTCGAGTGAAGATTTTCCAAATAATATTGTGAACTCAACAAGTAATGTCTTTCATTTTTAACTGAAATTTACACCACTGTAAAATATATATCATTACCAGTTTCCTATATGTTTAAAAATTTTTATTAAAATTATATGTAAAATAGTAGTATCTCTTGTATAATGTAACATGATATGCCTCAAGAGACAGAGCTCTGCCAGAAAAACAGGATTATGTAGGCAAGTCCATTTAACATTGAGGTAAATTGGCAAGATGTTATCAAGCTGGTGATGGTTTCAGCTGTAAATTTATTTCTAAATTTGGCAACAGGTCACCAGAAATCACCAAATTTGATAGCATTTTGGTTCGATCCCCATATAACTTTTCAAATTCTTATTTAACTGTAACTGTATCTGGCCCTATATGAAATTATAACTGTATATGCCTTCTAACGATTTCAAGAAATCGAAGGTCCTGGAAATTTCTCAACAGCCGGGGGGAGAAACTATATAACATCAGAGAGAGCATCAGTCCTCAGTAGTTTAATTCTGAGTACTAAGAGATTTCCATGCGAGCTTCATTTTTTAGATGTACCTTGCATTCCATTGTGTTTGTTTTTAGTAGTTTGAAGTAGTAACTATTGATTATGCTCTGTCATACTGAAAAAAACTGTACAAGTAGTTTGTGAAAAGTTCTAGACCAATAAAGTGTTTCTTTTGGAAAAATAAATTTTATCAAGCTATCATCAGTTCTGTGTGCATTCAATCTACTACGAACCTGTATGCACCTAACAATATATATACACACACACACATATATATGTGTGTGCGTGTATATTGTTATATACACACTATATGTGTATGAAGTGTGTGAGTGTGTTCCCAAATTCAACCGATAAATTCAGAGTGGTGATAGTATGCATCGAGAGGATAAAAATTTCTATAGGAATGGGGTTGCAAACCACGTTTACTGAGAGAAAAATTGCTAAAAAGTTTATGAATTGTGTAACATCGAATGGAACAAAAGTGGCCAATTTCAAGTAGAAAAACATTTATTTGACATAAAGCAAAATCACAGTGCAACACAGTTCAATGTGAGAAAGCTGACGATGAGATAGTTTTATAGAACTTGTTCGAAGTTGCAGCCAAAGGTTTTTGCACAGCCAATACTGAAGGATGAAGGATTGCCAGACATATTCAAACATACCCAAAGCAGTGTGTTGACGATGTCTGCTGAAGCAATGGTGATCTGTGCTCTCAGATCCTCCAGTGTATCCACATGCATCTGATATATGAGTGATTTCAGGTGCCCCTAGAAGGTGAAATCCAAAGCATTGAGTTCCAAAGAGCATGGTGGCCAAGCAACAGGTCTGCCATGTCCAGTCCACTTCTCAATGATATGTAGCATTGAGGTGGTTATGCACCACAACCACAAAATGTTCTGGTGCATCATCATGCATGAACCACATATTCTGGTACACAGAGAGGCCAATATTCCTTGCATCATATCCGGAGAATTTGCTGTAAGAAAACAAGGTAATTTGTGCCAGTGAGGTATTCGGATAGAAGGTACGGTCCCAACAGAATCCCTGCCCAGATATTAATACCAAACTTATGTTGTACTTTCAACAAGACAGTGCTGGGGGAGTTTCAGATGACCATATATGCACATTGTACATGGTGACCACGTCTTCTCTCATAAAGTAGCCTTCTGAGAATAAACAGTGATGGGAGACTGAATCATTCTGTGGGGCATCCAGCATGTTAACTCTACTCAAAGGGAGTAGTCGGTATCACCTAGGAATTGGACCTTCTGCCCATGGAAGGGATACATGTTTTCTGCATGCAGAACTTTTCATACTATTTTATCATGAATACCCAGTTCAGCTGAACCAATGATGTACTGGTCAACAAGGAAATGCCAAACCATTGCAATAAGCAGTTTTCTGTTTGTGTCCATGCTGCATACTTGCCCTGCATAATACCTTGTTATTTGAAAGGTTCCCATCTCCTGCAGCCACCGATCGATGTTTTTGAAGGTGATATGGTTAGGACAGTGCCTGCTTGGATATTGCTCTGGGTACATCCTCTGTGCTCGGTGCCTATTGCCACCTGCTCAGCTACAAATCTGATGCATATCCCTATATTTCTCATTTGTTTAGTCTGATATGTTGTTTTCAAATGCATTTATTAGTTGGCATTGCAGAACCTGCAAATTCTGCAATGCCCACTAATGAATACTTACTCTCTGCTTTTATTTTCCCAATAGGAAATCTACATATGAGAAGGTTTCTTCTTTTTGATCGCTGCTTTTATATCCGCAAGAAATTTGCATGTGAAAAGGTCTCTTGACCGCAGTGCTCCTAGTTGTCGCATTTGTTTAACCATTCTCTTCGTCAGGCTGACTCTTTGATTTTCACCCACTAAATGAGGTTTGCAACCCCATGTTCTGTGGTAATTTTTCATCCTTTTGATGCCTACAATCATCCTCGGACAGAATTTGTTGGTCAAATTCATAAATGTCCTGTATCATATGTAGCATGCCAAATAATGATTATTTGGAGGAATTAAAGCAACAAAATTGGATTGGCATAATATTAATAAATTTATAGGACTAGGTTTAGAGATTTAAGTCTGGAACCTTCTTCTTCAGCTACAGAAATGCAAATGATGAATTATGCTGCTTCCTTTTGCTTTAACTCTTCCAATAATAAAGTTCTTTAATTTTTATGGGGAGTAAAACACTAAATCTGTTTGAAAGACACAGTGACCATATATTTCCATGGTTCACAATGAAAATAAATGGTCATTGTGGCTTTCAAATTGATTATTTATTACTAGTAATTTATTAAATGATTAAAATTCTTAACAGTGAGAGAGGCGTGAGTTTTAAAAATATATTGTGATTGCTTGACGTATAATAAATAATGTTTAATAATAATAATGAATTTTGAAAATATTAATAAATTTCAAACTTTGTCATTTGATTGAAATGACTTTGTCTACAAATATATAATTTATAACTGTATACTTTATTAATAGGTACTAAGATTTTTTAGCTAGGTGATATTACATTACTACCTGTATTATTATTATTGTATTGTTGTGTAATAATGTTACATAAGACTGAGAATTTCTTCATGATATAGCATTTTTAATTTATTAGTATTAAGAAAATAATAGTTTATATGCAAACTTAAGAAACTGTCACTTAAAAACCTAACTGTTTACAGCAGGGCTTCTTAAAACTTTTTTCATTCATGACCCCTTTTTATCATGAAGATTTTTCTGTGACCCGTAGCTATTAATTATTAAATATAGAATGAAGCTATAAAAATAAATCAAACAGTGACAAAACAGTAAACAAAACAGTGTTTTTTTAAAAAATAAGACCTAATAAAAAAATAAGCCCTAGTATAATCTTAATAAAAAATTGTCCTAATAAAAAATAAGCTCTGTCCTAATAAAAAATAAGCCCTAGTACGATCTAGTATGATCAGGGTACTCCTAACACTCCTAAAACTAACTAAAATAATCACGCTTAAAACGTTAAAATAACTAGAACTTATTTTAAGCTCCTATTCCTAAAACAAGTCTTAGTTAAAATCGTCAACCAGACAAGCACCTTAATGATCAAGTGCACACCTGTCATATGACCAAAATGACCTTGCCAAATGACCAAGTGCACACATGTACATTTGAAACAAACGGACATGGTTGCGACAAATTAGAATCTCTAAGTATTCAATATGTTGCCAACATTTAGCTCATCATTTAATAATAAATTTAAAGCATAATAAATTTTGGCTTTCAGATAAAATGAATACAAAAAGAAAGAGCTATTATGTTGAGTATAAGAAAGGAATTGTGGAAGACTATTTTTAGATAAAAAAATCTAAAAATCATAGAGCTTTCTGCAAAGAGAATAAGTTGGATAAATTAGTTGTCTGAAAATAGTAATTAGAGTACAATTACCTCAGTCAATGAGGGAAATACTAAGAAACATAAGTGTGGATCAGGTCAGTATCTATCACTTTTTGAACTGGAACACATCATCTATGAATGGATTGCTGACAAAAGAGCAAATTGTTTGGTTATTCAGTGGCACTTGTGACAACACCCTGATGGTGCATTTAAAAATTGCACTACTGTTGTGTTATCTGAAGTTACGGTTTCTGATGCCATTAGATTTTATGCCTGCATTTGTATCAGATGCATTGCCGGTATACTCCACAGCCATCGCCACATTTCTGAGGTTTTGGAACCTGTTCATAGCTTGCCTGCAGCCAGTTTTCAACAAAAAAATTTGCAATCATATGTGGCATGCAGTATTCAGCTGCTCTGGCCTGCTTATTTTGATGATATGTTGTGCGTTGAATGTTTCTGGTTGACAACTGGCAAACAAGTCGCCCAACATACATTCCATATAGCTACATTAGCTGAAATTTGACAGTGCAAAAGATAACTTAAAGTAACGTATACTCCATACACACATATAAAGCTTCTTTCTTTCAGTCCTATGGTATGTGGGAGCAGTTAATTAGCAACCATGATGATTATGCAAAAATCTGATTTCTTCATGTTCAGCATGTCTAATGAGGTTGTAATTTTAATCAGTTTATCATTGAATCTTATATTTTCTGTCCAGTTAATGTGGCTTTTTTTTTTTTTTTTTTTTTTTTCATATTGTTGCATATTTGATGACACAATATATTAGTGTAATATTATTTAATTATTTTCATTTGTTTTATGCCTTAATCAGAAAATTTAATTTTTCATTTAAATTATTTGATGGGTAAATACATTTTATTATACTGTCCTGTTATTTTGTTGTATTATAAGTGCATTATGTAATTTTATTTAATTGTATTTTCATAATGCAATGCATTCATTTGTAGGTCGACCAACACGAACACTAGTTCAATTTCTGGGAAGTCTAGCTGATTCATTTGCTGATAAAAAATAGACAGGAAATGTTCAGTATCTTTTTATATTAAATAATTTATACATGCTCAAGTGACTGGTTTCTTGACGGTCAATCCATTTTGGATTTTTCCATTCAGTTTTTTTTATTTAATTTTTAGATGGGATATAAAAATGATATGAATGAATATTAGATGAAAACACTCAGGAATTTCATATTTTATTTAAATGCTATAATTGGAATTAAAAGATATTAGAAAAAAAATAATACTTTCTTAAACAGATAAAATTGACCATATTTAAATATAATTTTTTATTTAGTTTGTATGTCATTATTTGCAAACTTGTAATTATATAAATTAAAATCCTGTAATATTTACATATGTAGATGCTAATTAAATATCATGTATAACACACAGAAATTTAATAATTTTCATATACATAAAAATGTTGTTCTTACTGTCATATCAAAAAGTGTGAAATTTTAATATGTCATCGTGGAATTAATATTTAGATTTTTTTATAAGCCAAGGAAATTGCAAATTAATTATTCACTTTTGGTTTTGATCACTGGACCTTTTGTTTACCACACGATAATTAAAAATAAACAGAAAAATGAATGACTTGCTGTATTTATTTTTAAATTATTGTAATGGAATAACAAGAATTTTATTAGTACATTTTGAAGTGGAAACTTATATTCAATTAAACTGAATTCCTTTAGAGATATTTAGTATGGGGAACATAAAAACAGATGAGTAGAAACATTCAGTAATATAAATGTAGCTAATAAAAGTAGTTCATATATTTCTTTCAGTGCTTAAGATACTAAATTATTTTATTCATATCCTTGAACTCAGTTATGTGTATCATCCATTGGGTAGTTCATTCGAAACTTTCTCTTTAAAACATCTGTTGCTTTTAGATTTATTGTTTAAAATATACCATTACTCTGTTATACTATGTGTTGTGTAATTAATGCATCATGCTGTTCAGGACTTATATTAGGTAATACTAAAGCTTAATTTTAAAATACTTATTTTGTTATGCATTTCAATATTTCTTAGTGAAATTACCAATGATTAAAGCTTTAATAATCACTCAGTTTTTATGAAAGCCATCATGAAAATATTGATTTTATTACTAAAGAAATTAAGATGTAATTATGTTTCTTAATTTAAGCTATTAAATCACATAAAAACTACTACTAATGAATATTTTCCAAATAGTATACTGAACAAGAAAAAATAAATGAACAGTTATAAAATACGCATACCATAAGAGATGTTTAAAGTCAATAAAATTTGATTAGTGAATAGCAAAAAGTAAATGCCACTTTGCTATTCACTAATCAATATAGAGTAAAGAAACTAAGAGTAAAGAAACAATATAAATGCCGATCTAAGAGATTCTGTCTCATTTTATATAGCAATATTCACTAATCAATAAAGAGTAAAGAAACTGAAGTGTAAAGAAACAATATAAATGCCGATCTAAGAGATTCTATCTCATTATATAGCAATATGCAAATTATAGTCACCTGTGCTCCCTGATGTATTGAAGGAAATGCATCAACTTGTATTTAAGTTTTGATTGAAATGATTCTATAACTTAAAAAAGATATAAAATTTGTGTGCAGATAATAAAATGTCTTTGAGAAAGCATTTAACTCATTGTGAAAAATGACATGTATTTGGGAGGCTAGAAGCTGAACAAAACTAGACATACAGATATGCAGAGACTCAAAAAAGATCTTTCTAAAATATGGAAATGATTTGGACACACGTGATGCATCTTGGTACTTAGCGATATGCTAAACTTGCTTCTCAAGATCATAAAAATTAAGAATAAACACTAAAAATTATAGGCAAATGATGATTTCACAGATTTCAAGGGAATTTGTCTCAGATATAAAATATTCTTTTACAGCATGTGTGAAAGGCTTCATAAAAATGATCTCTACAGCAGATGATGATATTTTCCATTTACTCAAACTGCAAAAAAACATCCGATTTTAACCTCTTCGTCCGTAACACGTCTAGCATGTTCAAGTGAAACTTCTGCAAGGCGGCCATAACATGCTTCAAGTGTTTTTCTACATTTTAAAACTTTTAAACGTTTAAAACGCTTTTTAAATGTTTACTTGTTTCAGTTTTTATTTTTGCTTGTTCTAATACCTAATAACCCCCGTTCACAAGAGCAGATTCGACCGGTAGCAAAAACCGGTTCTTCCAACATGTCCCATTCACATGGGAACAAGCATTAACTGCTTCTCATCGAATTGGAGGTAGAACTTTTGCTTGAATGGTTCCTTACCTCTTCGGGAGCAGGGGCAAATGGGGAGATTTCCCAGACTAATACCACACTGATTGCACGGTTTCACTTAATTTTAGTTACTGCTTCACTGGACTGTCAGCGAAACAATCGTGCTGATAGATGTCTGGGGATGTGATAGCATTTCCCCAAAAATTAGATAGAACTGTACAAGATACGGAAATTATAGAACAATACAGACAAGGTTATCTAAATGCTAGGTATTCCAGAATATATTGTTGAAATTAAAACTAAAGTTAAGTCAAGTGCATATTGGCTTCAACGCGACAAGGGACTCTGTACCTTTTGAATGATTCTTTTAAAAAACATTTAAGCCTATTTAAGCATTTTCATCTACTTTTTATGAATATTATTAAATGGTTTTTGTGAGACAAAAAATAATTTTAAGCTTAAAAAAAAAAGTTTTTTGCTAGTTTTTTTAATTTAAATTTTTGAAGACAAATTTTACAATTAAAATGTCTTTCTTCTCCTAACCAATTTTTTCAATGTCTCCCCCCCAGTTTTTTATTGTATTTATTAAAGTTCTTAATAACTTGAAATTATTAAGTTAAAGAGTGTTCTTAATAACTTCAAGGAACGATTTTGCAATTAATGAATTAGTTTTTGAGAAAAAAATAAAAATACACTTTTATCTAAAATCTTTAAAACAAATATAGTCTCAGTCACATTTTCATTTCAAATAATTTTTCTTTTCAGTATTTTGCAAAACCCATCCTTGTTTCTATAAAGTATATAATTTTAAATAAGCAGTAAAAATAATAAATAATTTAATCCATACCTGTATATGTTTTAGGGCTTTAAGTAAAAGGCTTTATCGAAAAAAAAAATGCAAAAGGCTTCTCAGTTTGCATTTGCAGTTTAAAGAATACAAACTGTCTAAATAGGCATTTAATCATTTCAAATCTTTAAACTTTTATTACTGAACACACACACACATATATATATAAATCAAACCTAATGCTATTTATTCAATTGGTAAATATAAACATGAATTGCAAACCTTTTTTTAAAACCTTTTGTGGCCAGAAAAATTGCAAAAACTCCTAAAACGCAAGCAGAATTTTTCTTTACCTGTTTTTGTTTTGTAAAACAGGTTCAAAACAATTTTAATACATTAATTAATTATAATATTGTTGCGTGCGTACGGGTTTGTAATAGATTGATAATAGTTCGTAAATGATTGTCATTGCACTCAAATCCGATGATAGCTTAAATTTATTTTATCAACAGAAACACTTCAAACTTTTGGAATTTTCCACATAAATACTTGTACAAGTGTTTAGAATATCACTCAGTATAACCAGTAGTTATGCTTCAATCTAATAAGAACGTTAAACACAACGGAATGCAAAACAAATCTTAAGAGAAAGCAATAACAACTTATATATCATAAATAATGCCATAAAAATAGTGTGGTATAATGAGATTATTACTTTGAAACCGATGTTTCGAATTGATGCCCAAGAAGAATCAATATTTCCCATTCTGCTTCATTGCATATCTATCAAAAAAGTAAAAAAATCATCCAATTAATTTCCTTTCATTTTTTTAAATGCAAAAAGTTTGTTTTATAAAAAAAATGTCGGAAGTTTGTAACTGATATATTTTTAGATATGAAATTTTAAAATTAATGGTGCGTCAAAAAGTCTAAAAAATATGAACGATTTTCAAAAATTTCTCCCAAAATATTTTTTTAAAAAAATTACGCTAAAAATTTCATTTAATTTTTTTTCCTCCATAGTGTATGTACAAATTTGTGTTATGGCTGCAAACTATAATATTCTGACATTCTCAGTTTATTTGTTAATATTTACAAAAAATCGTTTCAACTTTAAATTTGAAAAAAAATCTAATCCTCTAAAAATCAAAAGCGTGACACCACATCCACAAGCAGTGTATGTACAAAGTTTGAGTTCTATATCTTATCGGGAAGCAGTTTAAAAATCCATGACCATCTTTTAACCATAGCAACAAGCACCAAGAATGAACTAAATAACGGCTTATAAAATAATAATAATTAAAAGGCATATATTTTTTAGGAACCCTTACAAAAGTTCAGCTACCAGTTGGAAAAGTACAGATTACAAAATTAACAACAGTAAACAACATTAAAAATGTGTAAACAGTATTAGAAAGCTGCCAATTCGGATACATGATTGTTCACAGAGGCTTAAGTGTAAAGGGAAGGAAGACGGTGGTCTTCTGAACGGGTCCTAAAGATGAAACTCTTTCATGTCTCTTTTTTCTTCTTTTGCAAACGGCAGCTGTGCAAAGGAGCGTTGCTTATGAATGGGGCTCTAGAGGGCTGTACTAAGCAGGCATTCTATTTCTAATTGAATTCCTCCCCACCCGGGTTTTATGAATATTCGTGCCATTTTACATAAGATACAAGACAGTGAGAGATCTTCAACGTCTACTCAGCAGAAAAAGGGAAAAAATGAGGTTGTGAATTGGAAAGACAAGAAGGCTATACGTGTGATGAGTACCAGTCCATAATAACTCTATGGTTGATGTTGAAACACGGAAAAAAACTGTAAAAACACCAATAATTGTAAAAGATTACAACAACAAAATGGGAGCAGTGGACCGCCTGGATCAGATGTTATCAAATTAATCCTGCTGTTAGAAATAAGCAGAGATATTATTACTTTTCCATTATGCTTTATTTCCTTATAATTTTGCTTAATATTCATTTACATTCATCCACTACAAAAGTTATGTATGTACAGAGAAAGCAACATTACACGCTGCGAAAAACA